CGCAGGTCCCAGCCACGAATCCCAGGACAGACGAGAAGCGAAGTTTGGCTACCAGGTAGCCTGCCAGGAAGCCTTTGAGAAAGGGTGAGGCCAGCAGGGAGCCATCCTGTGGAGAAGAGCCAAGAGTGAGACACCAGGCAGGGTGGGCTTACACGGATAACGCACCCCGGGCACCCGCCCCAGGGGATTTTTTTTTTTTTTTTAACGAAGCACCCTCAAAACGGGCGCCTGGTCAACCCCGAGGCAGGCAGGGCAGGGCAGGGCAGGGCACAGGCCGGGGACCCGCCTCACCTGCCCCACACCGGCGTGCACCTCGTCCTCCACCCGGCGCTGCAGGCTCTCCAGCTGGTTCTTCAGGAAGGCGAGGTCCTTCAGCTTGGGCAGCGGGTCCTGGGGGAGACACGCAGGATGATGCCCGGCCCGGGGGGGGTCCCTCAGCCCCGGTCCCCCCCCGCCAGGCCCGTCCGGGCCCTGCCCGCCCCGCTCACCTTATCGTCCGCCATCTTAGCGCAGGCACCGCCCACCGCGCAGGCGCCGCCCGCCGCTGATTGGCCCGCGGGGGGCACACGTGACGCCGTCGCTCGCCCCTCCCGCCTCCTCCCCGCCGCCCGCCCGCCCGGCGCCATCTTGAGGCGGGGGTTCGCTGGGCGCCGCCATGATGGCGGGGATGTCACCTCCCCCCTGAGGGCCGGCCCTGTTCCCGCTGTGGGGGTGGAGGATGCTGCAGCGGAGCGCTGGCAGCTGCTAGCGGGACCCGGGGCCTGGGGAGCGGTGGCTGGTGCTGGGGAAGGAGACCCTGAGAGGAGCTGTTTGGCCTGTGTGTGTGGGAGGGAAGGGCCTTGACAGGCCGGGAGCGGGGCTGCCCGGTGTGCCCGCTGTGCCCCTGGCCCTCAAGGCAGCTCCTGGGTGCCTGTGTTTGATTGCTGCCTTGAGATGGCTAGGGCACAGGGGCCTTCAGCACAGGGTGGATTCACAGAATGGTATAGCTTGGAAGAGACCTTAAAGATCAACTAGTTCCAACCCCCTGCCGTGGGCAGGGACACCTCCTGCTCCAGATGGGTGCATATGCCTGTGTCCGTGTTCTCAGAGAGATCCCTCTGCATGGTGATTGCTGTTGTGAATGTCCAAGGATCATCCCAACATCCATCCTGGGCAGCACAGGGGGCATTCCCTCCTCCCTGGCCTGGCAGGGAGGTGTCCATCTGGCTTACCAGGGCTTGGCAGAGCGTTTGTTGGAGCTCAGTACTCAGGAGCCCCCTTGTCTCTATCCCAGGAGATGCTGCCATGGTGTTGGAGTGGCTGCAAACACTGCTGCCCTCTGCTTCCCCTGCCTGCCCTCTTTGCCCACACAGGCAAAGCTCTGCCTTGGGCTTGGGGTCCCAGTCACAGCCCAGTGGGATGGACACATCCTGAGACTGAGTGTTCCTGTCTGGGGAGGGGGCAGCAGCAGATGGGCAGGAGGGTCTGTGAGGGGTACGATGATTTATAGAATCATAGAATCATAGAATTGCCCAGGCCGGAAGGGACCTCCAAAGGCCATCTAGTCCGACCCCCCCGCAGTCAGCAGGGACACCCCCAACTAGACCAGGTTGCCCAGGGCCTCATCGAGCCTCTCCTTGAATATCTCCAGGGAAGGGGCCTCAACCACCTCCCTGGGCAACCTGTTCCAGTGCTCCACCACCCTCACAGTGAAGAACCCTCTCCTCATCTCCAATCTAAATCTGTTCCCCTCCAGCTTGAAGCCATTGCCCCTCGTCCTGTCACTGCAGGCCTTTCTAAACAGGTTCTCCCCAGCCTTCCTGTAGGCCCCCTTCAGGTACTGGAAGGCTGCTATTAGGTCTCCCCGGAGCCTCCTCTTCTCCAGGCTGAACAACCCCAGCTCCCTCAGCCTGTCCTCGTAGCAGAGGTGCTCCATCCCCCTGATCATCCTCGTGGCCCTCCTCTGGACCCTCTCCATCAGGTCCATGTCCTTCTTATATTGAGGGCTCCAGACCTGCACACAATACTCCAGGTGAGGTCTCACCAGAGCAGAGTAAAGTGGCAGAATCCCCTCTCTGGACCTGCTGGCAACGCTTCTTTTGATGCAGCCCAGGATGGGATTGGCCTTCTGGGCTGCAGCTGCACACTGCCTGCTCATGTCCAGCTTCTCGACCACCAGCACCCCCAAGTCCCTTTCCTCGGGGCTGCTTTCCAATACCTCACCCCCTAGTTTGTATTGGTGGCGAGGATTTGTGGGCTACTGGTGGAGGACAAGCTGCAGCCCAGCGTGGGAACAGCCTTCCCTTGCTGGCCCCACATGGATGGTTCTGGTGAGTAGAGATCCCTGCAGGAATGTCACATCTCTGCATAGTAAGTGACAGAGGACAGGAGCAGGCTGGGCTGAGCCTCTGAGTCACTGTCTATCTTCTTGCTCCCACTGCATGAAGAGATGGGTAAGTGGCGTCCCTGATAGAAACCTCAGTCTTCCTCTGACCATGTGCTTCACGCTTCCAGGTTTTGTGCTGTGGCTTTTCAGAGTAGCTTGGAAATCGGCTGACGTGGCAGCAAGTCATACGGAGCTGTGGCTGAAGAAGTCACTTGTTGGTCTGTTTGCCTCTGCCTGTGGCCTCCCAAAGGTGCTGGGATCCACCTTGTGGATGGGGGCTGCTGCCAGAAGAGGGGACGTGTGAAGGAATGTCATGAAGAGGGGACATGTCAAGGTCCCAAACACAGTAAAGGCAGCCTGGTGAGAGAGTCCAGAGCTGGGGCGCAAAAGGAAGCGCTGTCAGGGCTGGCAGAGCCCAACTGTGACCCCAGGCTGCCAGGTCTTAGAATCATAGAATCATAGAATGGTTTGGGCTGGAAGGGACCTCAAAGATCATCGAGTTCCAACCCCCCTGCCCTGGGCAGGGACACCTCCCACTAGAGCAGGTTGCTCAAGGCCCCATCCAGCCTGGCCTTGAACCCCTCCAGGGATGGGGCAGCCACAGCTCCCCTGGGCAACCTGTTCCAGTGTCTCACCACCCTCATAGTAAAAAATTTCTTCCTGAGATCTAATCTGAATCTTTTTTCTTCCAATTTAAGACCATTTCCCCTTGTCCTATCATTACACCTCCTGGCAAAGAGTCCTTCTCCAGCTCTTCTATAGGCACCCTTCAGGTATTGAAAGGCCGCTCTAAGGTCTCCCCGGAGCCTTCTCTTCTCCAGGCTGAACAATCCCAGCTCCCTCAGCCTGTCTCCATAGGAGAGGTGCTCCATCCCTCTGATCATCTCCATGGCCCTCCGCTGCACCTGTTCCAGCTGGTCCATGTCCTTTCTGTGTTGAGGACTCCAGAGCTGGACACAGTACTCCAGGTGGGGTCTCATGAGTGCAGAGTAGAGGGGCAGAATCACCTCCCGAGACCTGCTGGCCACACTTCTCCTGATGCAGCCCAGGACACGGTTGGCTCTCTGGGCTGCCAGCGCGCACTGCCGGCTCATGGTGAGCTTCTTGTCCACAATCACTCCCAAGTTCTTCTCCTCGGGGCTGCTCTCCAGCCATTCTCCACCCAACCTGTACTTGTGCCTGGGGTTGCCACATCCCAGGTGCAGGACGTGGCTTGGTTGAACCTCATGCAATTTGCATGAGCCCACCTCTCTACAGCCCCTGTCCCCTCAGGGTCCCTTCCCTAGGACATCAGGGGGCTGGGCTGAGGGTATCTCTGCTGGTTTGCCCATAGCCATGCCATGGGGGATTGGCTGGCACCCCAGTGTGGATGTGTGCCACAGGACACTGGTGGCTTGCCCTGCTCGTCAATAGTGACACAGGGCTTGGCTTGTCCTTCATAGCAGTGAGGACATTTTATGAATGGATGCCTGTTTCTCCCTTGCCAGCCCAAAAGGGAGAAGATGTTCCTCTGTGACCCGGGTGGCAGCTGGTCGGTACATGGTGCCCATCACAGGGTACCATGCCTTCAGGCCAACATGGACCAGTTCTTGTGTCCCAAAGGCTGCACCGTGTAAGTTTGTGCCCAGATGCTGTAGGTGTGGATGAAGAAATAGCTACCACAGAACAGGAGGGCAGAGAGGAGAAGTACACACTGTGAAACTCCTCCAAGAACTGGTGAGAGACAGGAGGTGGCAGTGGGTTTGAATCTGCAGGAGCTGTTTTGAATCCACCACGGTGCTCCTGTCACAGGCGAGCGTTAGCTGGGGATCCTGTAACCTGGGCCAGGCCCATTGCACGCAGCGGGGTTTTATACAGCGTCTGGTGAGAGAAGAGCCCTTCTGAGGGACGTGGTGAGCACCTTCCCGGTGGGCTGTGGTGTGTCAGAGCATCGCTGCACTCGGGGAGCAGCTGGGGCCAGCATCCAGCTCCTGCTGCCTGAGTGGGTGTGAATGACGCTTGTGGGTCAGTGGCTGTACCGTGGGGCTGGTTTTCTGGGGTTCTTACCAGCTTCAGTCTGTCAATAGCAAATGCTTAATGGTCTTCCTATGGACCTTCTTAAAGGTCTTCTAATAAATACCAGCTCTGACTTGATCCCCTCGCAGGTGAAAGGGAATTTACACCACTTGAGCACCTCCTCAAAGGGGAGCTCTAGGAAGCTACAGGGTTGGGGACCCCTCTCTATCTGCATGCGCTGCGGTGCCTCCTGGCACTCCGGGCCAGCAGAGGGTTACGGTTTGAGAAAACCCATAACAATTTATTGTCATTTAGATAATTCTTCTATCACCCGATGACCCCTCCCCACCTGGGAAGGGAAACTGGAGAAAACAAGGAAACCTAAGGGTTGAAATATAAATAGATTTAATAGGATAAGACTAAATAATTAACAATAATACCAAAGAACCAGTATTAATCCCTATACTAATACATAAGAATTATACGCAGCCCATTCCTCAGTGGGAAGCTGTGCACTCCCAGGGACAGCCAACATGGGACACCGCCAGCGCTGCAGATTCAGGAGGAAGGGAAGGGCTCAGGGCCCCAGCACTGGGGCAAGGAGTTCTGTGGACTACCACCGTCGAGGAAGAGAGAAACTCCTCAGCAGACTTTCTACTTTATATTGGAAGTGCCGTTCATGGTATGAAGTAATCCTGTTAGCAGCTTGGGTCAAGTGCCCAGGTCTTGCTCCTTCTCATCCCCACACCTGGCAAGGCTCGAAAACAGTGAGAACTTGAATCCAACATAGTCTGGCTGGCTATAAAGTAAATATTTTCACATTCAGACACTAGGGTTAGTCCTGTGTCACTCAATCCAGGACACAGAGAAAAGCCAAGGGCCACCAAAGGTGACCTGCTGAAGGTGGCAGACAGTTCATAGAAACATAGAATTGCCCAGGCCGGAAGGGACCTCCAAAGGCCATCTAGTCCGACCCCCCTGCAGTCAGCAGGGACACCCCCAACTAGACCAGGTTGCCCAGGGCCTCATCGAGCCTCTCCTTGAATATCTCCAGGGAAGGGGCCTCAACCACCTCCCTGGGCAACCTGTTCCAGTGCTCCACCACCCTCACAGTGAAGAACCCTCTCCTCATCTCCAATCTAAATCTGTTCCCCTCCAGCTTGAAGCCATTTCCCCTC